ATTTAATATTAATGTAATCGATTTAATAAGTGAATAAACGCCCATTTTTACAATAACAGAATTTTTACAAAAACGTAACATATTTAGACTGACAGAAAATCAGCGAATCAGCAAATCAGGCAAGCATCTTATAAAAGCTAGTTTCGAATTTTGTGACATTGGTTGAAAATACAGTAGCCCGCAAAATTTTCAAAATGGACCTCCATTTTGCAGTTATTTTGATTTAAAGTTTGTACGCAACCATATGGATGTGTGATCATTCATTTGGAATCTTTAAATGAAAATATCTCAAAAACGAAGGCGCATTTTGAAAAATCCTATGAGAATCTGTTAATATCAAGTATGTACTGTGTAAGTTTAATCCACTCAGGTTTCAAAAGCGATTACCACGATCGTAAGTTCCCCTTGTTAGTAACATTTTAAATGGTGAAACTACTGAAACTCTATACAGTGGCCCGCAAAAGGGTTCGTACACTTTTTAAAACGCAATAACATTTTTAAAACTGGACCAAATGACTTGACATTTTTTAGACATAATAGATAGATAGAGCTACTAGACAATGACTAAAATGCTTCTTTTCAATTTTTGCTATTACTTCGAGTAACAAAAAAAAATAAATAACGAAACCTATAACGAAAATTTAGAAATGCCTTTCGTAGATCTCGGTAACTTATATGCGTGCTGAGAATTTGATCGAAATTCATTGTCCTTGTCCGGTTATTGTCATTGTCCCTCTACCATCTACAAAACATTCAAGTCATTTTTTTAAAAAGTTATCGCGTGTTCAAAGGTGCACGAGCACTTTTGTGGTTCACTGTGTGGCTACTTTATCGCTGTTACCATTGACCAGTTGAAATGTCCTGTAAAAAAAGGGTTCTATTCGTAACGGATAAAGGCTGCGTTGCCGTTCTCGTTTAACCCTAGAAAGATAACCATATGACAACGTACGTAAAAGATAACCATACGCTTCAGAGGCGCATGCTTTTCTAAGGCGTCAATTTTATACTAACAATGGATATTTATTTAAGTTAATCTAGTCATTTTAAAGGTTTGGCATTATTGTAAAAATAAAATGCATTTATATTATATTTTTTTATATTTTAAGTAATTTTAAACTTAAATCACTAGACCTCTATGAAAAATTAACAAAAATCAACAGTCTTTCGCAGGCGCCTCTGCGACGTAGGTTATCTTTCTCGGGTTAAAAGGATCGACGGACTGGTCGAGGAACCGCTGATCTTTCGTTTCGCGGCGATGCATAGATTGCGTAGAAAAATTGATGCCGCAGTTTTACATGAGATGCAAAATTATACCCATAGGTTTCCCCGGCCTGCTCCGGTCTGCTCCGCTGGCTGCGGTAAGTACATCTGTGCGCCTCTCCGTACTACGACGACGGCAACGGATACAAATGATTCTCTGCTGCCTCGGTATCACGGTTATCACGCATCTCGATCCACCGTCTACGAATCGGTATACGATGCGAGCCGGCGAGACGTCTGCCACCGTAGAGACGCCGCACGGCAGAAACAAAACGCGCCCGTACATAATACCGCTGCTTCCTACCAATCCCGTGCTCGGAGAATGCATCTCGAATGCGATAGAATTTGGCTGGTCGTTGGATCCGAGGACGAAATTCGCGAACTTGAACGCCTACGAACTCAGTCGCGGTTCTCTCGAATCGAATTCGACGATACTTCGGCATAGTATCGGCCGATCGGTGGACGGACGACCTTGGGAAAGAACCCTCGGAGCTTGAAATCGCTGGCGGAACAGAACGATTTCAGCCTCTCGGGGATTGCAATTGGGCCGGCTGATCGATAGAATATTAATCGGCCGCGTCGACGACAGAGAGATCACGCAGAGTCGATTCAGTCTCTCGTTACGATTCTTGTTTACAGTGTCGAACCGCGTAATATTTTAGTTGTCACGGCGCACGCATTTGTCGCTGGTCGCACTACGATAACAAAAATAAATCAAGCCGCCGTCCGCTCGCATCGAATTTGCGAAAACGCCATTGTCCGTCCTATTTCCGATCGAGTTCGTTCTACCCTGCATCAAGCCGTCCGGGATACGAATACCGATGGGATCGAGCATTTACTAATTGTAAGTAAAATCGATGCCGCGCAAATAGACCGCGGATTTCCGTGCAAAATAAAACGCGATGTACAGGGTGGTCAGTAAACTGGTGGTCGATAAAACTGGCGGTACAGTCGAGAACCGGTGGTACGTTTCCTTCCGCCGCGTTGTAAAAATCTCGACAAATCGAAATGTAACTTCCTTCAACTCGAATTATTTTCCTCGAGTACAAACGCATTCTTTTATCTCTGCATCTCGAATTTATAATTCCCAGAAATTTGATCATTGTTAATTCATCCTTCTTGAATTCTTAATTTTATTCGAATTCTTTTCTTCTATATTCTTAGAGAAACTCCAAAATAAATTGTAATATTCCAATATTCCAAAAAGTAAATTGTAACATCCCACTATTCCAAAAAATAAATTGTAACATCCCACTATTCCAAAAAATAAATTGTAATATTCCAATATTCCAAAAAATAAATTGTAATATTCCAATATTCCAAAAAATAAATTGTAATATTCCAATATTCCAAAAAATAAATTGTAACATTCCAATATTCCAAAAAATAAATTGTAATATTCCAATATTTTTATGATTTGTTGAATAAGATCATTTTATATAATTAACTTAAGATATAAATGCTATCATAACAACCGGAAGAGGAGACATTCTGCATGCAAAAATAAATCGAAGAAAAGGAATAATATTTTTTCATTGAAGACTGCGTTTTCGTGAACACCGATTTGAAAGATTGAATAGTATTATTTAAACCTTTATACAGTAAATTCGATACGATTATTCGAGTCTTGTGCTTCATGTTTACAGTTGTTGACAATCGGTAACTGTAACAACGAGGCTTGAAAAATCCTATCTCCTCCTCCCAAATTGTCTATTTTTGTTTACAAGCTGAAGGACAATTGGGGAGAATTTATTGTACTCTGAGATTACTGTATCGTTTCCTGATTACAGTAAATTCGCCCTAATCGACGCTCAGATTGTGCACGAAAATGGACAATTTGAGAAGAGAAGATAAGATTATCCGAGCCTTGCGTCTGATTTTTATAGTTACCGACTGCCGACAATTATAAAAACAAGCCGTAAGGCTCGAATAATCGTACCTCCTCTTCTCAAATCGTCCATTCCTATGCACAATCTGAGCGTCAATTAGAGAGAATTTACTGTAGATCACTGCTGTCTAATAGTATAAATTGCTAACACGGAACGTGTGCATCGCTACATTTTCCGGCCGATTGCAAGACTGTTTCGACGCCGAATGTTTTTTGGCGATCACGACTCTTATCCCGAGTCGCGTAGATTTTACATCTCGCGAGCAAAGACGATTGCATCACGATTTGCTATTTGTCCACAGCGTATTGAACGATGATGCAAACAGTTCTGAAATCTGTGCCCTCTTTCAAGCACTCGAGTCGCGATCGACTAGTAGAAAAATATCTATTCTTCTGCAGGAATTCCATCGAACGCTATACGATCAACACAATTGCATAAATAGGATCATCATGAATGAGAATCGTTACAGCAGCAGAGCCGAGCATCTTCGATGTCTTCAGCTATTTCCGGAAGAACATAAGATACTTAAGTTGCGAGTTATAATACGTACATTATGTATCATTATGTAAAAAGGGTTAACCCCGTTTATAATAATTAGACCGCGGATCCTTCTGTAAAATAAACGTTTTCTAACTCAACTGTAAAAAATGGGAATGGAATAAAAAAGCAGTTCTTCGTTTAATAATCTTAATCAACTGAAGCGAGAAGATACCAATGTTCTTAGATTTTTCTGTTGTGTCTTCATTTTTTGTTCTCTCTAGACATTTTTATCAGAAATGCATCAAATCCGCAGTCTAATAATAACAACAAATGAAAACCTAATTTTTCTCGAGAACGAAGCCTTAAATGAAAGAATATTAATCCACATTTTTGTCTCATTTCTGTATGTAAATTCGCCCCCCTCCCGGTAATATCACTAATTATCGTACATTACTCGAAAGCTTAAAAACGCCAGATTACTTCTACAGTTATCTTTGTCGTCCCGGATCGCGTAACTCCCGGATCTAGGTACAACGAAATTTTGCCTCCGTGTGCATTTCTGAAATTTAAATTGCATCGGCCGAGATGGAGACAGTGAACCGTATCGCGTACGTTCGTTCCAGGCATTTCTGACGGGCATCGATCCGTCGACGGTGGCCAAAAAGTGAATAAACAAGCAGCACAGAATCGGCCGTCGTGTTTTTCAATTGGATCTCTGTTACAATTAGTCTCGCGGTTAGGTGCATATTGAATTGATAGCGTCGCCAGGTACAGATCGTCATCTCGGTGGTCGTTAGCGTGGCAATCCGGGGAGGTGGATGCACCTCGCGAGTGCGTCCCGGCTGCAACGGACCGGCGGACTCGAAGAAAACGGGGAAGAAGCCGAAACAGAATAGGCGAGCGAGGCGGAAGGAGAATAAGGAGAAGGTGAAACGCAAGGTTGAATGCACAACGGTGGAAGTCGAGCAGGGAGAGGATGAAGGAACGCGGAAAAAGAGAAGATGCCGAGAGAGAAAGAGAAAGAGAAAGAGATAGAGAGAGAGAAAGAGAGAGAGTGAGAGAGAAAGAGAGCGAGAGGGAAAGAGAGAGAGAGAAAGGAGGGTGATTTGGAAGAAGAAGGAGCCGGAGAAGGAGGAAAAGAAGGCGATGCGGGGGTGGGTGGACCGGCTGATATACATATAAGCAAGGTATAGACACGTGGGAGAGGCGCAGGCGCGCCGCGACCAACACCGCGAGAAAAAGGAGACACGGACACGGCCGAGGGTTGTATAGCACACTATAGCGGTCTCTGGGAGCGGAGTTCGGAGAGGCTGCACGGGGCGGCTGCGTGCTCGAAACCCGAGCGGCGCGAGCGCAATGTAGTCCCTCGGCTATCCTTGACGCGGGAGCATCGTCGTTTCGAAAGAGCCGCGACCTTTCGCCGTCGCGCGCGTTCCCTCGAAACGTCCGACGTCCGACGCGCTCCGCAACATCCTTCGGTCCCCTCCGGAACCGCTGCAATTCATCGGTCGGCCCGCGTAAACGCGTAAGCGCGTGTCCGCCCACGCATCGTCCTCTCGTTCCGCTGCTCTGCTACCACTATTCGTGCGACGTCCTCTTTCCGAAGGGACAGAGAGAAAGAGAGAGAGGGAGAGAGAGAGAGAGAGAAAGAGTGATCGAGCGAGGAGGAGAGAAAGAGATAGAGAGAGAGAGAGAGACTAGCCTCGTCGCATAGTAGTGCAAAACGTGTCGCGAACGATGTGTTGCAGTGACGTAACCGGTGAATCGCGCGATCTCGTTGAACAGCGATCGATGGGACGCAACCCTGCTCAGGAGGACAAGCTGGCTTAGGCGTCTTCGATCGGCCCGTGAGCCCAATCGACACGAGTCCGCGGCCAACCACCGCCGCTTATCTCGGACAGCGTAATCGCGGTTGCACTCGGTCAGCGCGACGCTTGCTGCCCGCCGCAAGAATCGCGATCGATCTCCAGGACACGCCGGAAATCGTGAGCCGTTGTTGGGATTTGCCCCGAGCAGATGATGCTCGATAGATAGCGGGCCTGCGAGGACGTTTCCAGAAGATGTTCTAGCCGAGTTCCCTGCCCCACGGTGATCTCACCCGGAAAGGTAGCACAAGCCGTTTCTCGGATTCGTCGCCCGTTCAGGATTTTCACCTGGAACCCGGAGCCTGCGAATTGGGTTTCCAGAAGATCGAGAGGTGCACCCTGTCCGTCGACGCGACGCTTCGAAACTGGGTGACCGATCGAACTTGGCACCGCAAAGCCGAACTTCCGCCGAATACCCGAACCCGTCTTCCCGATACGATCGACCGTGTAACTCGTTCCTCGAAGGCGGAGCTGTTCCCCCCGCGATCGGCGATCAATCTGGAAACGATGATAGCGAGCCTGCTGTTGTGCGAAGGGAACGTTAGATTTTACGACGGATTCGGTGCAGACGGTGTCGTCGACGGTCGCTTGTCGGTGAAACCAGTGCCGGAACGACGCTAGAGAGTGTCCGAGTGCGTCGCCGGAGGAAACGCGCGGGTTTCATGGGATGTTGCAGGCGAGCTGTTGTGCTGTCGCTGGATCGTCGCGGTCCTGGATTCGCTTTCGAAGTCCGCGTGCTTCCGTGAGACAACGAAGCTTCTCGTAGATCGTTTGGATCGCGATCGCTGGCAATCGGGCGCGGAGAACTCGAAGGAACGGAGAACCCAGGGGATCCCGAAGAGTGGCCAGGCTGGATCGGCGGGTCGATAGGTTGCCGCATTATGCGTTCCGAAGACGATTAGCGCGGCTAGGGCAGAAGGAGCGAACCGAGCGAAGGGTAGCGCGGCGGGGATCCGGAAGAATGCAGCGGCCGGGGATGCACGGGCTTTGCGAGAAAATGCGCGGAAGAATGATCGATGAAACGTCTGGAGCGTCGGGGAAATTACTTTAACGAGTCCCGCCTAATGCATCGCGAACGACTTTGCGGTCGTCAGTGCGACCAGAGGCATAAAAGCGTCCACTGCCACCTCTCCTCTGTCACCCGCTGTCTCTGCTCACCTCTCTCTCCGCCGTTGACGCTCGGACCTACACGAACTAACACCACGTACCATTGCCAACGAAACACTACTGCCGTTAATTGCGTTCATTAGCGTAGCCCGGGTTAGGTCTACCGACGTAGCCGCTTTCTTTCGAGGGAAAGCCGTGAATAATCCTATCGAGTTCGCGCGACACGGTGCGACTGTTGTTGTTGTTGTTGGGTTTTTAATGAAACTAGTGGAAACAGTGTTCTGTCGTGTTGCGAAACAAGCCAAGAGGAACTCTCCGTCGTGACGAGATTCGCCACTCAACGGATCCTGGGAGATGCCACGTTGCTGCGACGCAACGAGACGCTAACGAATCCCCGACAGGACTGGATGCCCGACTCGACGAAACGCCGTGAGATGCGTGCGAGATAGTATATCAATATGTGAAAGAGCCTCGCCGAGGAAAAGCGATGTCTCCTACTCTTCCCGTACTCGTCTGTTTTATCATTTCTTTTGGTAAGTCGAGAGAGAGAGTTCCCGATCACGCCAACGCAGTCCCGCCGTGGTTCTCGAGTCAGTTAGATTTCAAATGTTCTTCAGGATCGGGAAACAGCATCTGGTCACGCTTCTGTAAAATGTACACCTCGAATATGTGAGACTATAAGTCCAAAATTGCCGGTCTAAATGAGTTAGGTTGAACGGACTCGAAGAACGCAGCGGGACTAAAGGCGAATTTAGACTTTGCACCGCGGATGAATCATTCATGGATGCAAATACAATTCATCAAAAACAAAGCTCGACTCTGTTTCGTTCACTGCTCGCTTTGGGTGTTCACTTTGGATGGAAAACGAATGTAACATAATGTTTATACTTATCATTGCGGATAAATCATCCGGAACGCGCGTCAAAAAGGGCAATGTGTAAATTCGCCTCGAGTAACGTTTAGGAATTAATTTGAAGAAAGCGATCGAACCCAGCGAGTCGATGTTTTCTGTATCCGTGTCTGCACGTTCGAAGCAACGGCTCAAATTTTTACAAGACATTCGGTTATAAATTGCGGGAGTTGTTGAACAAAAAATAGAAATAAAAGCCGTCCAATCGGACGCATCGATTCGAACATTATGTACAGTCTTCTTGAACCGTAGTTTGACCGGCAACGGATAACAAGGAAACCGAGAAAGCGAGAAGAATTGAATAGCTCGAACAATCGCGGCCAAGAAAGGGTTGGAGCTCCGTACGTTCGAACGAAGCCCTCGATATCTCGCGGCGGAACACCTTCGGCGCTTTCAATTTCCGTCGACCGAGTGTCTTAGGTTTTTAATTGCACGGCAGCTAATTGTCAAGCTGTCCGGGGGGAGGGGGGAGGGAGGCAAACGGATAAGTAATTCTTTCGAGAGGACGGAGATTCTTTTCCTTTGAATTGCAAATCGGGCGTTTAGCTTGCGCCCGTGCCGGTGCTTGTATTATTCATGACATTCCGCTCAATTGTATAATAGCAACACTTTGACGCAACATTTTGTCCCGCTGGCACACGCGGCAGGGCGAAGCCCGCATACCTTTCGGCTCGATTTGATCCAACGAACTCCCCGGGCCCGGCGAAAAGGGAGTCGAAAACTGCTCCGGGAGACTCGCACCCTCGGGCCAACAAAGCCGTTGCGTCGCCGTTTCTATACGAAGATTCGACGAGCTCGCAGCGACGGATCGCGAATGAAACTCGAGCATTCGGCGGGGGTCGTCTTCTCGTTCGGATATTTCCTGCGCTTAATTCCGATAGAAACGAAGCACTTATCCCGACAAGTACGGTGTTCTCGACCTGTCCGCTAACGTCGGAATGGCTTCCCTATAGTTGCTTGGCTCGCCGGTGAAAAGCGTGTTGGCCAGTCGCGAGCAGAAAAGAACACTCGTAGCTCTCTCATCTCCGAGCACTGTGTCCCGCGGACGATTCGGGAAGTAGGTGTACACTGTTTCAATATCGCTTCTCGCGTTTCTCACAATATGCTTTTATACGATTGTCTGTGGAGGATCCAGCGAAGGGGGTGTCGGGGAGAGAATGGGAGAGAGAAACACAGAGAGCGGCGACGCTGATGCCGACGCCGAGGCCAAAGCCCGAGCGCGACGATTTAACGCACAAATAACTTGCCGGCCGTCTTTAGCCGCGTTCCCTTTTCTTCGCGCACCTGCCGCTGTCGAGATTCCCTCTGGAGAGAGCTCGCCCCGTGAAAAGTTAGAATAGTTTTTCTCGAGGAGCTATGATTGTTGCGAACGTAAAAGGAAAGCATGCCCTGGGAACCCGATTTTACAGAATTGTCTCGCACCTTCTTTTCTCTACAACATTACTCGACGCTCGCCTCGATCTCTCTTTCACTCTCTCTCTCTCTCTCTCTCCTCTCTCCCTCACTCTCTCTCTCCGATCTTTTTCACTCCGTGTACACTCTCCCGCCTCGTTCTCTCGAATTCTTTCTCGCGATAAATCCTTTGCGTCTCGCATTTAAACAATCCCCCATTGTGCCCGATCAGTCGGGAATAAAAATGCATTTTTGCCTGCTGTTTGACTGAATTCTCCGAGCACACCGGACGCGTCGCGCCACTGTTAATTTATCAACGTACAATATCGCAATTAGTAAACGTAACAGCATCGCTACATAATATTTCAGCGTTAGCAGCGAATACCGTGCAAACATCTCCCGAAATATTACCTGTTTTTTTTCTCGACACCGCGCGCCCGAATATATTTTTTCGTTTTATTCGAAACGGCGCGGACTATTAAATAATGTATAATAAATTGTAGTATACCGCTCGAAAGGAGAAAAAACCGTGGAATCGCAGTTTGTGCAGTGGGTCGATAAACAATGCGGGATTGTTCTCGGTAATTTGTTTCTATCTGGAATGAAAACAGAGTTATAGCCGGGTTAATAGATTCGCCGTGTACACGCGTTTCGTTGGAGATTTACGAATAAACCTCAGCGTTTCGAAATAATAGGTGATCGACGGAGAATTTCGGTTCCCGCGGCTGGCACGCGGCGGTTCGCGGCGGCCGCGTGGGAAATACTTGGTCCGCGATTTCGAGTAAAAAAATTTGTAATTGCTGCCGGTGATTCGTGTCGGACGCCGGTGACGATTCAAAGTGCACGGCGGCGCGGCGACGCGTCTTGTTTAATCCCGCCGGATTACGAGGGTGAGGGGAGGTTTGGGTGGCGGAGTGGAAGGCGCGCGGGAGGGTTGAATATCAAACTGACGAATTCACTTTGATCGATCATCCATAGACCGAGTCGCAGGCACTGAATTGCCGATACAAGCCAGACTACGAGCCGTTTATACGCCGATCGGGATCGTTCACTGTGGCGTTCGCGTTTATGACGTTGTGCCGTGAAACGGCGCACCTAATTCAGGCACCACGACTCCATCGACGCCGACGCCCCTCGTCCACGCCAATTGAACGGTTCGCCACCTGTCTGGATCATTCCAAGATTCATCCGGACAAGGTGGCGCGTCTGCGAACGTAAATGATTTCAGTTAGTACCATAAAAGATTCGAGTAGAGCAAATTCCCCCTAATTGACGCTCAAATTGTTCACAAAAATGGACAATTTGGGAAGAAGGGATACGATTATTCGAGCCTTGCAACTCGTTTTTATAGTTACCGACTCTCAACAACTACAAAAACGAGACGCAAGGCTCGTATAATCGTATCTCCTCTCTGTAAATTGTCCATTTTTGTGCGCAATCTGAGCGCGAATTAGGGAGAAATTACTGTAATCGTAGATAAAAATATTAATGACCCGTCAGTCCCACGGTTTTCGTAAACATATAATGTCAATTCTCGAAACTTTCTACTTTCGCGAATGACGTCGCGCGAAATTTATTCATTTTATCTATTTGGCGATTTCAACTGGAAAACCCATTGTTATATAAGACAAAGAGTTAGTAATCTTAGACTAAGAGCCAGTGCTAAAGACTTGGACTAAAGTCTAGTTCGGACAGTAATTTAGCATAGTTACAAATGCTTGTGTAGTTACTTCCTACGGAATAGTTTAGTATGTAGTTACGTGTCGGGATTAGTACAGTTGTACCATCGTAATGGATCTGCTCGACTAAATTGTTTTAATAATCTACTCAACTAAACACTAGTGTCCATACACAATAAATTACAACGTTACTCACCGATCCACTAAATCACTGGCCGTGTCTGAACCGGCCTTAATACGATTGAAATACAGTAAATTCTCCCTAATTGATGCTCAAAATGGAACGCCTAATTGTGCCCAAAAATGGACAATTTGGGAAAAGGAGATACGATTATTCGAGTTGACAATCGGTGACTATAAAAACGAGCTGCAAGACTCGAATAATCGTATACTGCTTCTTCCCAAATTATCCAGTTTTGTGTGCAATCTGAGCGTCAATTAGAGAGAATTTACTGTACTAAGACAAGTAATGAATCGCGGCGATGGAAAAGGTTCTGGACGAGGTGAAAGAACTATTTAGAAAGTCTAGTGTGTCGCGGGAGAAGGCTACAGTTTATAATTAACCCCTTGACATACCATTTTCTTCGCAGTTACTGCGATTAGAAATTTTTCGATTGCAATAATTTCTTAGAAGCGAAAGAAAATTGCTGCTTATTGTATGCCTAAATTCACTTGAATGCTTAAACATTGATAACAAGAGATTAGAAATTTATTGCAATTTTAAAGGACAGAATAACAGCTATACTCGATAAATTATTACTAGAAATTTTCATGACGAATCGAACTCGTCAAAGTATGGCAAGGGGTTAAAGGATTTAAACAATTGTAACGACCGTGGATAGTGCGATGGGATTCAGGAATGTAAAGCACGTGATTCCTAAGACGCCGAGCAGGTGTGTAAGAGCGTAGTAGGTGGTGTAGAGTGTTGGGAGAGGAAATAAGGTTCTGGATAACTTTATAGACGAGCAATAAAGCAGTCATAGTGCGACGGTGCTCGAGGTTCATTAATTCTAGTCGAGATATAGTACTGTCTTAATTGTAATGATAATGTATATTTGATCAACGGGAGAAAGTATGACTATTAGTATGACAATTACTATAGTATGACAATTTTTCGCACAAGTAGCATATCAAGAAGAAATAAAGAAACACGAAAGATGATTATAATAAAAAAAGGCAGAAAAGAGAAGATGCAATAGAAGATAAAATGATCAAGATATTTAAATAATGCGAGAAAATAAGATCATTAGAACAAAGAAAATAGGTATTGAGGTTAGGAATCATCTCTTCTTCCGAAATTGTCAATTTTTGTGAGAAAAATGCGCTTTTTTGAGCTCGAATTAGGGAGAAATTACTGTATTCGGATTGCAACGTTACATCTATGAGTTATTTATTCGATATATGTATTAGTTGCGGCAAAGGTTACAATAACACTGGTTAAAAATCAGAATAAATGTAAGCTAATATAAAATAGCTGCTTTCAGTGCTCCGTAAATCTATCGTTAACAGTTCGCTGTATCACATCGAACCGGATTCTATAAATTTCGATTAG